AGTTGTAAATCTCTATCAGTCTCTGACAGAAGGAGAAATCTAAAAGATCTCTGTGGTTATCTGAAAAACCCATAATGTTAGACACATTAGAAGTTATAAATACTGTATAATACGCAAAGAGATATTACATGCTTAATTATATTCTTTAGGTTGGATGATGCATAAACTGTCAACACCAGTAATGAGAATCAGTCCTCATTGCTATTTTCAAAGACATAACATACTTCAAGACTATAAAATTACAATCTCAATATGTAACTTTTCATCAGAACGAGTTTCACGACAATTTATCTGTGATGGCTTTTATGCTGCAAGACACACATGAATAAACAGTAAATTGCTTTCTTCATGAATTCAAAAGTTGTCAACATGCATACAGCCGATTCATAAAATTTACTGAAGTAATTTGATACAGAGAAATACGTTTTCTAGTCCCACTTGGCTATTTGCAGCCAAGTGTTCAATAAGGTCTATTACCATATTCCTATAAAATCCTTTCAGCTTCATCAGCAATCAAATGCAGCGCCTCAATATGTATCATAATAATATCAAAATTTAAGCAAAATTAAACATGATCAGATAATGTAAAATACAAAGAGCTAACTGTCAACAATGTGAAACAATGTGAAAACAAGTAACCACAAAATGATATAACATCAAATCAACAATATGTCCTGTGGTCCTTTACAGCTGAAAGAATGGTTACTACCTGTATTTTAGGGTAGGACAGACTGTAGTACAGTAAATGTATTATAGTGGCAAGAGAGACCATGTTATGATACCATATCGCGGTAGTGATAATAGGAGTTACTAGATAGCTACAACTAACTGTTTTCAGTAAAGAGGAAGCCACAGTACCCACAAAATATCATGCAGTATTTAACATCAAATGTGTAAATGTTACTTAATACCACTGCCTATTATGGGCATGGAGGTCAAACATCCATGTAGTGATTAGTTAGCAAAATGTGATAAATTCATCCTTGATGCAGCTTCATTTTGTATGGACTTCAACTGTTACACCAATGATGAATTTGGCAGTTTGTTGACCAAGTCTCCGCGTAGCTCGAAACCGTGTCTGTCTCTTCTACCAAACAAAGTTGGTCCAGTAAGAGATATTATCTCATCCACATTGTCTCTCTCATATCCTGGGACCAACATGGCTACAACAATATTGCAAACATTAATTTTAATATGCAGTTAGCAAAACTGCATCACTTGAGGACTAATGTTCTCTAACAGTTTGCCAGCTCTATTTTTATAGCAGATCTATAACACCACTAATGAAAGTTCCACATTACCATACCTACATCAGTGCACATACACAGAGCTATAATTTTATTCAATTCAGAGAAGTGAAATAAAATGGTACAAAAAAAAAAGATAAATGAGTACTGAGAAAAAAAGTTTTCTAGCAGTCAGTGATCTCTGTATGCTTTGAGGGCAAACTAGACAAATGCAATCCATTCTGTCACAAAGGATGTAACGTGTCTGAATACTGCACTTTACATGGAAATGAACAGTGAAAGATAAGTACAAAGAAGTTGAAGTATTAAATCTTTCAGTAGGCCGCTACCTTTTGGTTTTAAGGAAGTACAATTGCTCTGTTGCTAAAGATCCCACATGGCCGAAATACATTTGACCTCATGTTTTAAATGTGTCATCTTAAAAACATATTTCACTTGTTAAAGTTCATTTTCAGAGTCATAAATCAATGTGCAACTTGACTTATGTGCAGGGAGTGCAAAGTCTATTGAAAATGCATTAGCACATTTAAGACTAAGAGGATTATCACAATGCAAAAGAATGCATTGCTTGTAATGGTTTTCTGTCTCCTCACACAAAATAGGATACATACCCAATAAATAGGGTATGTTTACAGTATATTTTCAATATGTAGTCAAGGGACTGACATGTTTATTCATACATATAGGACCAATTAAGTTTGTATTAGACATTACAATTCTAATGCTACTTCATTTTTATTGAACAAAGTTTTCCATTAATATGCAGACTTATATCATGATCCTGCACACATTTACGTATATCAGCAGCCTCATTCAACTCAATTATTCTGTTCAGGTGCATAAAGTTTCTCAAATGCATAAATGTTTTTAGGACAGGGGCT